CGGAGGAGGAGGATCCCGCTCTACATGTGCTTCATCGATCTGCAGAAGGCATATGACTCGGTGGACCGGGAGCTACTGTGGAAGGTGCTGGCCCGGGCCGGGATCCCCGGGGAGATGATCGCCGTCATCCGCAAGTTCCACGTCGGAATGCGGGCCCGGGTCCGCACGGACGATGGGGAGCTATCGGACTGGTTCCCGGTCACGCAGGGATTACGACAAGGGTGCTCAATGTCCCCACTGCTGTTCAACGTCTTCTTCGCAGCGCCTCTCGAGATCATTGTCACACGGTTCAGCCAAGATGAGGTTATCGTGCGGGACCTAGTGTACTTGAAGGAGGAGGAACGGAGGGGGGGGGAATTGCTGGACCGAGTCCGGAGGGCGGTGTGGGGGATGCTATATGCCGACGATGCCGGCGTTGTGTCGAAGTCCGCCGACGGCCTGGCGAGGATGATGACCATTATCGTGGAGGTGTTCCGGGAGTTCGGCTGACGGTGTCGGAGAGGAAGACGGAGACATTGATGATGCGGGTGAAGGAGAAACAGCGACCGCCGCCGCCGCCACCGCCGCAGCTGACCATCGAAGCAGCGGGGCAAAGGTACGCACAGACGACCGAGTTCCGATACCTGGGCGGCCTCGTCAACGAGCAGGGCGACCTTACCCGAGAGATCAACCACAGGAGCAAAGCAGCGTGGGCGTGCATTAAGCGATACGCCACGGAGCTCTTCGACCGACCGGGAGCACCGTTTCGCCTCAAAGCCCGCCTGCTCCAGGCGGAGGCAGTGGAGGCACTGCTATACGGCTGCATGACATGGTCCCCACGCCGCAACCACTACGGAATGCTGCAGACGACACACCACCGGCTACTCCTGCGAGTCATCGGCTACCGGCGCAAACGAGGCACCTACCGGCAGCTGTCATACGCCCAGGCGCTAAAGAGGGTCGGCTGCCAGAGCGTGGAGGCCACTGTCCGTCAACGGCGCCTGCTCTTTGCGGGGGCCGTGGCAAGACAGCCAGACGGGCGGCTTCCGAAACGGCTGATGTTCGGCGAGTTGGTGGGAGGGGAGGACCCGGGCCGGGGAAACCCGGAGCAGAACTGGCTGACATGCCTGAAGGACGACATGAAGATGTTCGAAGCCAGGTACGGCTCCACGACCGACAAGCCGAGCGTCTTCGGAGTCCCGAAGTTAGTCTGGAGTGAGGCGGCGAAGGTGGAGGGGGGGGTACCGTGGCACGCGGGGGTGCTACAGGGAGCTGAGAGGTTTATGGCCTCTTGGCACAAGGGCGAGGAGGAGGCCAGCCGACAACGAGCCATCAAACGAGGAGACAGCGGGCCCAAAAATAGTCTAGATACGGCACCAATCAACGGGGCGGTAGGGGGGCGGAAGGAAACGGCGCGGCGGGAAGAAAGCAAGCGAGAAGAGACCGACCGCGTGACGTGACATGTTGCGGTTGAATTTCAGCGACTAGTTTTTCTGTTGCCCTCTCCCCCGTTTGCTGTCGCGTTCAGACGGTCCCTACGGATATCCCTGTCTCTGTGCGAGTTGTTTATGTCCTCGTGTGTCTTTGGTTTATTTCGTTTTTGTTTTGTTTTTTTACTGGCACGTACTGCTGACCCTTGGGGTCCTTCCGGAAGGCTACCCCCCAGGCTGGTGGTGCGCACGTTTGTTTAGTTATTTATTTGTTTCTGATTCTTTTGTTTTCTTGTATTTTGTCGCTCTGCTAACCCTTGGGGTCCAATTTATTTTGGTATACCTTTTCTAGGTACGTTAGCCTGTGACCTCGGAAATTGACCGAGTCAAGTGCTGGATTAGTACAGAGAGATTGAGACAGAAGGAGGTACTGGATAGAGAGACCGGGGTGGTTTTTAATGTGAAGACAATAACAACAACAACCCCAGGGACGTCCCGATTTTGTCCAGTCCTCTCTTTTCAAGTGCACACATCTCCGCGCACAATCCGCGGAGACCCCTGTTTTTTTTTTTCTTCAATATTTCAAGCGTTCCGTTAGCTTTCGTTTGCTGTTTGAGCACTTCAGCGTCCCGATCGGGTCACGCACCCACGAAATACAGCAACACGCCCTCCCACACCCGTGATGCGGGTCATTTTCATCCCTGTGGCGGGTCTGTTGCTAAGCATTGCGAGCATGGGCCGGGCAAGAGTAGACCCACAACAGGCGCAGAAGGCTTGCGATGAGGTCGGCAGTGGTCAGTTGTCTTTCAGGGCTGCTGCCAAGGCCTAGTCTAGTCTACGGGGTGAACAAGGACGCGCTCTCGCGACGTTTGAGCGGTGCTGTGGCCATGGATGCGAGGGTTGGCCCCGAGACTGCTGTGCTGAGCAAGGCGGAAGAAGATGCGGTGGAAGATGCGTTGATCTACGCTTGTCGACACTTTCTGAGTTTCGGTCGGCAGCAGCTCATAGATGCGGTGCGAGTGCTCTGCCTCGACGGACGCCCGGTGCCCTAGGACCCAGATAAAGGCCCGGGGCGCAGCTGGCTTGACGGCTTCATGGCGAGGCACCCGGCGTTGTCGGAACGAACAACTCACATCTACGAGGCAAACCGGATCAACGAAAACAATGAGCCTCGGCTCAAAGGTTTCTACAAGGCATGGGGAGCGTACGTCGTGGAGAACAAGCTCACAGCGGACCGCGTGCTCAACACGGATGAGACAGTTGAGTTTTGGCAAGGTTTGAGGCATCAGTATCGACTGCTGTGCGTTCGTACGCGAGGTATCAGCAGCGCTGTCGTGTGCCACAACAAAGCGGAGTTCTGTTGTTGAAAAAAAAATCATGTTTCGCCAAGTTCCCCCGCATATCTTTTTGCAGCTACTGCTGCTCGTCACAGCACACACAACGCCGCATTTGATGCTGGATTCGGTTGAGGGTTGAACGTGCAGCATTCTCTATGGACACCCAAGTAATACTCTACCGCAGAAAGTGGGGCTCATT